AACTTTATAACCTGTGCTCTCCTTTTTCAATTTTTTTTTTTACTTGATTAGAAAGAAAACATCCGTTGTGGGAGCCAAGTGGGACTGCAGTGGAAGCTCTATTCACGAGTACTTTAATCCCTGCTTTCCTTTCACCACACAGAAACCCCTGCTCTATTCTTGGGAAATGTTTGCGTTTGTACATGAGCACAGGCAGCTGTAGAATTGCTTAATGAGCAGAGTTGTTAGATGGGTTTCACTTAGCTCTGGATAGTTTAGGTTGTAGGACTGGACTTGAACAAAACCTGCTTTTGTGCTGAGAAATGTGGATGACCTTTTTCTGGACTAATGTCACCCAGGGTTTTTTTGCCACAGGACGTCTTCAGAAATAATCATGCTCTTCTATAAGGGACTTCTGGCAGATCAAAAGCACTGATGAGAGCATCCTTTTCATTTGCATACAGTGCTCTTACCCAGACTTGAGTTCAGCAGAGAAGTTTTCCATTCTGTTTTCAGATCAGTGAAATGCTCAGCCAAAACCAGTAGGGCTTACTGCCCTTCAAGAGGTTGTGGCATTGTTAAAACTAGCTGCCCGGCTTAAGGACGTGAAGGCATCTTCCCTTTTTGCAAGTCCCCTGAACAAACTGGTTCCTGATCTGGGAAATGCTCGTGCTTGTGAAGAATGGAGAAGTGTTCAAAGACAAACTGTATCTTTTGTTACTGAACATTAAATAAAGGCACAAGGTGCAGCGCCCAGAGGGCAGCGATACATGTGTTGAAAGTGACTGGGCTGACATTGTCTGGGAACCATCGGGTTTGGTGTGAGTAGATGGTCCTGTTCATGCTCACATCAGATTTGATAGCCTGCAGGGACTTTCTGTGTGTCTGCCGTTGTTTGGACAAAGGATGTCTTCCTCTCTGTAATAATGTACCACCTCACTAAGGATAAAATTGGCTCTTTAATGGGAGAATAAAAGAAATCAGCGTAGGGTTGAGTCTTCAAGATGTTCTGTTGGGTGTTGTGCCCTCATGTTACCCACCCACTTACTTGCCTACCTGGAAGGTATTACCTTTGATAGATCAAAATGTCTTTCTAAAGGTAGTTGCCTACGGCTCTTGCAAATGCTGAGTTCCATGTAATTCCTGCAAACAAAAACATTGGTGGTCCTACCGAATATCAAAAGTAACTGAGGAGGGAGCGGGAAATAAAACTGTTCAGAACTATGTATAAAATTCATTCTTTACTCATCTTGTTTAAAATGGTACCATGAGACATAGAAATACCTCACTTCTAATCTTTATTGTTTTGGGATTTTTTTTCTCCCTTTCTCAAATGAATAGCTAAACCCCTTTTGCCACCTCTGATCTTCGCTTCTGCCCTGTTCATTTCTGTATATTGTTTTGCTGCTCCATGGTGTTTTGTCAGAGTTTTGTAACTTTGTATTGCCATCGGATTTCATTAGTATAAGATTACTTCTCCAGGATCATTCATGAAAGTATTAAGTAAAATTGGTGCAAAGGCCAACCGTTGAGAAGTGCAGTTGTCATCTCCTTTACAGCCCAATTATTATCCCTTCAAATAGAACTCAGAATCTTTCCTTAAGGAATTGTTTGCCCACCTTGGTTCTTTTACTGACTCCCTGTTTTAATTTAAAAAGTACCATATGGGAAACTATGTAATACAAAGTGCCAAAGAACATCACAGAGGGAGCATGCTTTTTGATGACGTTATGATAAAAAAATAAACCAAAAACCAAAAAACCTGCACGTTATTAACAAATTCAAGTAACTTTTAAAACTGTACTTAGTGTAGTTACATTGGTGGTAAAACAAGGGTACTGCACACTGAAGGTGCAGTTAGCTTTGGCTGTGAAAGACCAAAATCTTGAATTCTAGACCCATTCTCCATCCACTCTTCTGCTTCTTCCCTTAAGATGACAGTAATTCAGTAATACTATAGGTATTCAAGCGTTTTCCGTACTTTCACTCGGTATTTTTTATTGTACTCTTGATTTTTCCTCCAAACAGAATGCTGTTTCAAAATTTGGCTTTTACTCTTTTCCTGTTATATTGCCAAGCTGTATTTCTTGTACTTCCTTCTCTTTTCCTGTTCAAAGTTCAGGCAAATGGCAAGTTGTCAGAGGTTCAGATTGACAGTGGCACTGCTATTGAAGCTGTGCCAGGTGGGCCTGGAAAATTAGAACAGGAGCTGTCTGAGTGTGAACCTGCTCTTCAGTGATAGCTATTTTGATTGTGAAAGCCAAAGCGAAGTGCAGAATTCCCGGCATCCTTTGTGCCAAAAGCTATTTCTGCTCATCATGTGTTTTAAAGGGCTGTGTGCTCGGCAGGGTGGGCTGCGCGCAGGAACCGTGCTGGAAGCTGGAATTGTTCCGGATGGGCAGAAATACCAGCCTCTCTGTTTCTGGGGTTGCATGATTATCTGGAATGAAGTTTCCTTTTCTGTTTGAAACTCGTACGGATGCTTGTAAGGATTTTTCTTTTTTCATATTTAGACTGTAGAAAGGGGAGACCCCAGGAAAACAATCAACATCTGTTAAGTAATCCAGCTCATCTCTTGTGCTAATGTGATGTCATCTGTGATTTTGTGGTTGCTAAGCTACTCCAGCTGCTCTGCACTTGCATAGCAAAGCCTCCTTGACTTTAAAGGGGGAATGCATGTAAAATAGTGGCACAGGTTGTGCTTCATATGCACTTGCTTTCTTAATGCTTCTAAGTGTCAATACTGGCTCCTCTTTTTAGCCTAGAAATGCTTTTCAGAATCCTTGCAAATAAAATCCTTCTTTTTGTAGAGGCTAGTAGTAGTTCCTATGCATTAAAAAAAAAAAAAACAAACCTCAACATGGCAACTGGATCCTAGTGATAGATATCATTTAGGTTTTGAGCAAGGAAAAAACAATTTGTGGGGGAGATGAAAAGGGAGATGACTGCAGGGCTTCTGAGTATTGGCAAGAGGGTGCATCACAGCAGTTTTTGATGTAGTTCTATAAGATAGGGGTCCTGCATATCAAAAACAAACTACTGCTTGGTCCTTAATATTGTCTCCTTTGAGTATGTATAACAAATTGTGAAGTGTACAAAAATAAATGTAGTTGCATTTCATAAGCATCGATTTAGGTTTTTAGGATATTAGTAAAGGGAATTTACAACCTTCTCTTCTCCCATGTTTTTTGGCTGCTTTTCCTTCTATATTACAGCTAAAGGACAAATTAGATAACTAAGAAATGGAATTCATATAACAAATGAGGAATTTTTATTAGTCCTCTTTGTATGCAGGTGTATAGGCAGAAGTTGCTTGGGGCACAAAGCTGAAATCTGCTTCTTGATGTGCTTCAGGTAAAAAAAAAACTGTGGAGGGTTTTTACATGCTGGTGCTCCATCCAAGTTGAATTTGAACTTTCCAAACCCCAATAAGAGAATTCTCTGCAGCCGAGCAGTTACCTGAATGGGACAGGCAGTGGGTGTTGCTTCTGGCACTTCCCACTTTGTTATCTAATCCTTTAATAGAAGCTTTGAAGAAAAATTTAAGCCAAATTATCCCAAACAGACCAAATTAATCAGTGAAGGCCAAAAGGGTCATTGTGAATTTGTTGCACTTTTTAAGCACTTAAGATCATTTGAATGAAGGAAATAATTTTTAGAAATTACGTAGACCGTGACTGAAGGATTCATCATATTTTCTAATCAGTTAGATAAATGCTGTTAGAGGATCTACAGATGAAAGAAAGCGTTTCCTTTTATCTGACTTTCTTGGGGATCTAATTTTTTTACCAGAAATTAAAAATATTGCGCTCAAAATATTGCCCTTCAGGGTTGTTTTCTAGTTCTTGTCTAGACTAGAGATATTGATTTAAACTACTGCTTTGACACTACTGTATGATGTATTTTATTTCCATATTGTCCTGAAGATATTTCTCTTTAAGTGCCTGTTTAGGCCATGCTCTATAGTTAGGAAGTCCAGAGAATGAATTATTTTTTCTGAAGATCTCAAAGTATCTTTTTGAAGAATGAAAGCTGAGCATGGAATGCTCTTTACAAGCCTTTATCAGACCTGATTCTCAATCCATTCAGGTCTTTCTACTATAAATCCCCACTTGAAAGACCACGCAAGTTTCCAAAGACTTGGAGATGGTTATAGGAAGGTAATAATATCTTTCTGTGTTTAGGGGACGTGAGTTTTGCTGTAATTATACACAGCTGATAGCCTCTATTGAAAAAAAAAAATAAAAAAAATCCAATAACTGAGAAAGTCCACACAATGAATTCTTCTGGAAGATATTTCTTCAGGCTAGGAATAAAAGCGTTACTTAGCAAAGATGTATCTGTTTCCTGGGCAAATGGAAGCCTTCAGTTTGAAAGAAAATACTGCACTTCCACTAGAGAATGGAACATTTTGAAGACGTGTTAGCTTATAAAGGGTGTTTAAGTGATTTTTCAGTGGGGGGAGGTGGGAACCTTTCAGCTGGCCTATTAAAATAACTTTTATTCTTAAAAACAAAGAGTAATGGATATCTAGATGTAAAGTTAAAGAATATCTATATGTCACTTAAAAAGGACAGTGTGATGCATAGGGCAGTACAAGTTTTATTGAACAGCTGAGTTACTCATACTTCAGAGAAGTTCAGTAAGTCTCTCATGCAGTGCCAGACTTCACAGGGGAAAAAAAAAATTATGTGCCTGTGGTGACAATCCTATGAATTTATTTTAAGTCTTGCTTCTTAGAAATATGGGAAGACAAGGAACTCTTGGTTTTCTTTTAAAAACAAACTGATTGCCTTAGATTTGCAAAGGCATGTTTTAAAGCTACTGTTGAAATGTTTAGACCACTTCAGGTTCCAGTCCCAGAAAAATAAGAAAACACAGCTTTGTCGTCCTTCTATCCTTTTTCTTTTCCTGCTGATTTTATGGATGTGTAGAAGGACAGTTTGGGTATTGCATCTATCCACTGTTCTTTAAAGGAAGTAATTATGGCACACATTTTCCTATATCTGTTGTTATTACAGGTGCTGAGGATGTCGTGATGGCATTTTCCAGATCAGAGACAGAAGACAGAAGACAGTAACTACAGGATACCTGAACGACACAGAACTGGAGAGGACAGTGAGATTCCTGAAGATAGAGGAGGATGGCTGAGCATTAATAAGTTCCTTTGCCCACCCTAATTGTTCCTTGGTATTCCTTCTCCTTTGTAATTTTGTTTCCCTTTGCCCAACCCTCAGAATGCCTCTCACAGCCATCTATTCCTGTAAGTTTTTGCTACTCAGCTGGGCTGTGTTAATTAAGGACAAACTTTACGGTGTATTTTTGATTGGCTCAAAGGGACAGGCTGTGATTGGCTAAAGGAAGACAATTTTTCAAACTTGACCAATGAAAACCTTTTATCTTGCTTTTTATTTTATATTTTAAAGTCTCTTGACATCCAACTTCTAAAGAAGCTTTTCATGGTGTGGTGCTTATTTAGGTCAAACTTGTGAATTTGAAGAGGGTTTGATTTGGCTGCATAGAACTGGAAGCAGCTTGTGGTTGGTTGACAATGCAAATGCTTTCTCTTCAGTTGGCTTGCAGGTGTTTTGCTGACTTCGACGTTTTCATTGCAGACAGCTGATGTTTTGGTGCATTGGTTATTTCTTTATACTTACTGACTTGGGGGGAAAAAGACAAAATGTGCTTTGCAGTATTTATTACATCTACACACACATAAATGCTTGCTTTTTTGGGTTTGGTTTGGGTTTTTTGATTGGCTTTGAAATCATGGTTTTGATTTCCTATTGGCTGCAGTGTTTCTGATGCAATCAGGTTTTCCATACTCATCTGCTCTGTGGCCTCAAGCTCTTTTGGGAGCACGTGTCGAAAGCATATTAGCTCAATAAGTTTACCTGTTCAAGCTGGAACACGGAGATGGCCAGCTGTCCTGTGCTGCTCTGGGCTGTACCATGAACTCCTGGTAGACCTGGCTGTTCAGGTGGCTTCTCTCTTTGCTTCTGACAGAGGAGCTGTAGATATTTTGCAGGAATTGCAAGAATGAGATCTATGGCTGTGACATGAATTTGCCAAATTTGTATAGAGGATATGTGAACGTGTTTAAAATAGAGTTCCACTTTAACCCTTTAATTGCTGCACAAGACTAGCTCTCACATAAGGAAAAATTAATGATCATTAACTTAAATCCAACTTGCACTGGGCTTTAATAAACTAAGTTTCTAGTCACTTGAAAAATTGTATGTGGTTTGGCTCCTTGCAACTGTTCGGTGACGCAGAAATTACCTGGATCCTAAGCTAATAGCATTTTCTTTAGGCACTGTTCCAAGAGGCAGTAGCGCTGCATTAAGCTGCCCAGTAGTGAGTGTACAGGTGACACTCTCAGGTTTACTCTCTTAGTAGTTGCAGGGCCTTGAAACACACACACACGCATTTACAAACTGAAAAACCTGCAGTGGAATTCCTGAAGTGCACTGACTGTTCAGGAATCTGCACATACAATTTCTAGCACTGCTGCCGAAAACCTAGCACTTCTTTTTTTTTTTTTTCTCTCATATGTGCAGGTCATTTTTACAATACTTCTAGATTTTCCTGTGGGTTGCACTGACTTGAAGATGTTTCAAACTCTATTAAAGCAGAACTCATTCACCTGTTCCTGGTCCCTTTCATATTGTTAATTATTTGAAGTTACAATTCCAGAATCTGACTGTGACAATGTGACCATTTTCATGGCAAGAAATTATGATGACAGGATGCTGTTACGTTCTCAGAATGGGGAAAAAGTGTGAGAGAAACGATGGAATGTATGCAAAAGGAAGAACGGACTTGTGCGCACGAGGAGGGGAAATTATCTTGAGCAAATAAATACTCTGTAATGAGAACAACTGTACATCTGTTTATGAAAAAGATCCTTTTGATTCAGCTGGATCTTTGTAAAGTTCAACATGGAAGTGAATCTTTTACCCCTGTTTGGGGCCAGCTAAGAAATATCTTTATTAAAATAAACCAGGAATGAGCCCAAAACATTCTTTAAATTTTGACCTTGTTGCCTGAGAGACACTTTATTTTTGATTTTGGTGCAAAGGGTAGCAGCCCTTAAAGGGTTAATTTAAGAGGATACCTGTGTTTTCAGGCTGCTGGCTGGAATGAATGGGCTGGATTGTGGTGGCCTGTCATTGTCAAGCTAACATGCATCCTCCATGTGTATCTATGGCATTTCTGAGCTGTTAAATCTTTTCAAGGAGAAAAGTGAAGTGTTTATGTGGTTTAATCTTTTCACTAAAAATGTAACTGTTGGGGGGGGGAAATACAGTTTTTAATAGCTACTCTTGTTTCTTACTGATTTATTATACTACTAATCCACCAAATGGGAAATACTTTCTTTACCTTTATGGAAGATTTCCATGTAGACTCTAAACTTGGAGTGTTAAGTAACATGTTGAGAAGGATGTATTGAGAAAAAGGCCATGTGTTGTGTAACAACATGATTTGGGATTCAGAAACTGGAGGAGTATTTGTTTCTTGAGAATATTTGTGCCTGCTTTGTTACCTGTGTGCTCTCCCCTCTTCCCACTGGTGACTTCTTCACTTTAAACCAGGGCTGGAAGATTTTTAATGAAGATCGTATGTAGATCAGGGAGACAGTAGTGGAACAGAAGGCTTTCCAATATCCTGCTGGAATTATATTTCTAAGTAGTTATCTTCTTGCTATGAAAACTGAATTGCTATTACCACTGTGGAGCCTGGATTAACTGGGAGGTAGAGAAACTTGCACAGAGTACACCAGCATGGCTGACCTGTTTATTGTACATATGAATTTCTCTACCTTATGCTTTTGCCTTCTCAAGCATCCATTACTAATAAAAAAAAGCAATGTTTTAGAGGTCGGAGGTGAGTATAGATCTAAAGCAAAATCCATTTGTAAACAGAAAAGGCTGTTCAACTACCAACCGAATAGTGCTTAAGGCATTCAGTAAGGGAGCTAAAAGCTTTAGAGGCTTCTTCCACAAAAGCATACATCCTTTGGGTGCTCTTTTGGGGACACATGTTCCTTTAGATATTCAGAATGTGCTGTTGTACTTCTCTTACCAAGCTTATCACCTACCTCTGCTAACACACAGTGTTTTCCAGAGCTTAAGGAAAAGATTCAGAGCTGAATCAGTTACTCCTCTCATCTACCTCCAGATGGGTAGCAATTGCTGTAATTGTTGGTAGGTCATTGTGTCTGTGTGCATTGCCCACTGTAAATGAAAATGAGACTCCACCATTCACATAGCCTTTTAGATTGATTCTCCCAGGTCCTAAAATAAACCCTGGGGTAACAGAACATGTGAGCTGGTGACACAGCAACACTTGAGAAGGAGCCTGAAAGGAGTTGGACCACTAATAAAAATAAACTCTTCAGATTTTTTTTTTGTTTCTATTTCTAAGTTTATCTAAGCTGTCTCCTTCTCTTGGCTGTACGGTGGCCTGTGTGAAAGTTTCTAATGTTTTACCATTAAATGTGTTTCATTTTCATGAGGTCCATATTTCTAATTCACCAGCAGCCTAAATAGTTCCAGTGAAGGCTAAAGATTAAATGGCCCATGAAATTTCAAGACCCCTAACACCTATAGAAGAGGTGAATAAAACTTCAGGGTTCATAGGTGGGATAAATTTTTACATCTACTGAGAATCTGTTACAAGAACAGAGCAGTGCCATGTCTAGAGTTATCAGTGGTTTATAATGGAAGAGAAAAAAATGAAGGCCAAAAGTTGAAAGCTCTTAGTCAAATGTATATAATATGTGTTAAAAACTATTTTATTAAAAGACATACTGAGTGCCTGGGCAATGAGGGGAATGTGTGATTTGGATTACATTTAAGATCAGTCTCTTGCCTCCTAAAGGACTCTGTTGGAGAGCTGATAGCAAAAAGGTCATGGGACATGGACCAGCAGAAACCAACAGTGCAGTGAGAACAATTTCTGGAGGTTTAAGAAATCTTCAGTTGTATCCAGTCTCTATGAAAGAGTCTTTAGTGAGTAAGCATCTCTTCCTCACTGTTACTCATCAGTAACAAAGGTGTTCCAAAGCTTAGTTGTTAATAAAGAGCTTTTAAGAAGCTTTGTTAAAACTTCAGAATAGTTGTTTTAGGTGTAAGAGTAACAGGAGCACTGTTGCACAGTTGCTGCCTTGGTGGGACATCTCCTGGATGCAGGTGATTTTTAAATCAACTGGCAGCAACATGGTATATGTCCAGTCTCAGCATCAACCTACTCAACTCTCAAATGAAACTGGACCTGCTTGTCACTCAGTGCTGCACTGTGTGTTGTATGCAGGGCAGATCCTTCCCTGTTCACAGCATCAACTTGAAATAAAATCTATTCTTTAATTTTTCAGGTGAAATATTCTGTTTTATTTCCCCTTCTGCCACAGACTAGTGTTAAGGATCCTTCTATCAGTTAGGCCTGGATGAATTACTGCAATAAACAGGCAATGTGAATGCCATCACAGGAAACTAGCTTTTAAAGGTGTTAAAATGTGTCAAATTTTGGTAATTCTAAGCCTGGCATAGTGCTGATGGATAGATTTTTTTTTTTTTTTTTCCACAGTCTCAGGTGTAGCATGATGAGTTTACCATAGCGCTTGTATCCTGCAGATTGTGTATCTGTGACTTCTTCAGAGCAGCAGTAAATGGTCACTGGCTTGCTGTGGTTCTTCCAGATCTGCCTTAGACTTGCTGTGTAAATACAGCAAGTCAATACAGACACTTTATACTACAGTTTCCCTTTAAACCTCCTCGTTACTGATTCCTTTCCTAGTTTTACAAATACGAAAGTTCTGTATAACCAGGAGGAGTGATGTTATTCCATACCAGGGTAAGAGAGGAGCTTGGATGTGTTCCCTGTCAGACTGTAGTAGGTTCCCATACAAAGGCAGAAAAGAAATCACCTACTGTCTTCTGAGTTCTGCTTTCATTTTCTTTGCAGCTGATTTGCCCTAAGCAGAATTCCAGCAGTAGGTTATAAACAACCTGGCTGGTTTCCTTTGTAGCCTGAAGCACTTCAATTTTGGGGATTGTTTATTTTGGAAAAGAGAAAAAAAATTTTTTGAAGCTTTATAACCTGGCCTGCTTACAAGCTGCCTCATGTATCAACATGTAATAGTTACATGCACGGAGCTTTTTGCTGTCTTGACATTTTCTAGGTTAACTCTCCTTGCTGCTAAATGCTAATCTGTGACCAGAGGCCTGTGAAACTCAGAAAAGAAACTTTCAGCCTTTGTTTAACAATACTAACTCCAGTCCAGATGTGGACTGATGCATCTATAGTTTTCTGTAGTTGTTCACCTTAGATGATTACTGCTGCCCTTTTCTGATGCAGCTGCAGCTGCAGTGATCCCTGCAGCGTCAGAAGATGATCCTGTCTGTGCCCTTGATGGGAGTAGCTGGAGACACTTACTCAATGTGAGTAAGCAAGCAGGCTCCCCTCGTGTGTGTGTCATTGCTACCTGAGTCTTTGGACAACACACCTTTGTCTTTGGACAACACACCTTCCCCCAGAGAAAAAGGCCTTTTACTTACTCTGTGAGTAACACAGATGGTTTTTTTCCAAGGTTGTAAAATACTTCTGATTAACCTTGTTACTTTAAGTTGGTTGAGCTGAAGCCTAAGGTTACATCTACGTTCTGAGCTGAGACTCTTGCACTGTTAGGGACCCATTTAGCTAGATAGCTATTTAATAGTGTTCTTGCCTTAGCTGTTACAGTTTTAGCCCCAAGCAGAGTTAGTTCCCTGTGTTTTACTTGCACTGCACACTACTTTTGTATAGCTCATTTCAAGTTTCAGAAGATAAATCACAATTAAGTTACTCGAGCGTGCAGAGTTTGCAGTTTACATTGCAGTCCATGTGTTGTCCCATAAAATACCTTCCTGTTCTGCAGTGAAGTGAGAGTACTCTTACTGTTCTTCTCAGATATGGCCATAACTTGATACTCTCCTCATGCGTGCAATATTCCAGCTGATAGAAGAAACAAGGGTGATTGTTCTGAAAATATCTTTCCCTAAATGAGTGGAATTTTGTGAGGTGAGCATGGATACTGTAAGTTCACATTAAGACTTGATGTAGAGATACACCAGAGTAAGAATGTGGCTTCAAACCCTTGCTCCCTGTGGGGTTTTGTTTTAAGCTGCCACGAGAGCTCAAAGGTTGCTTTTGTTTCCTGCCCTTAGTGTGTTCCTTCAGAGAAGCTAAAAGCATAATTGTGGTCCAAGACTGCAGAGAGACTTGTGACTGGAACTGAAACAGCTTAATCACGTCTAGTTTGCAAACAGGAGCCCTGTGTTCAAGTACAGTAGCAAGGGAGTATGGCACTGGAGCTAGTCATCTTTGTAGTGTAGGGTGAGACTGTGATTGTGTCCCTGCTTTGTCACTGATGGGTTTGGGGTTTGGCTTTAGGTTTTTTTAACTGTGAAGGGTGGGGAAGTTTCTGTGATGTCAGGGGAGGGATGCTGCTTCAGAAGGGAGCAGCTTTGGATGTTATTTATTATGTCTGTACATTTGTCCCATGAAGCAGGAGAGCACAGGAAGTCTCTTGATGATGGAATGACACAGAAGCTTGTGTTGCTGCTGACTATGCACAGTAATCCATTTTCAGCTGTACTTGTGATCTCCTAATCAGAGGGCACAGCGTAAATTGCATCGAACGTGAGTGGAATGGACAGTGGTAGCCAAGCATTTCCCTTCAGTCTTTTGTCATGGATCTCAAGTGCCTAGAGCAGACAGACATTAGCTGTGTGCTGCCGGATCAGTGCCTGGAGTGTGTGCCTGATGCC